GTTCAAGAACAAAATTAAATAAGTGGTTGTGATTGGGTTGGTGGTTTTTTTTTTTTATATAATTAAAATAGAAAATAAAAATAAATTAAATTAAAATAATTAATAAGATAAAATATCACATTAAATTCATAATTGTTTCATTTTTTCTGTCACAAATATTACATCAAACTACAAAAAAATCAAATCATCTTTTCAAATATAAAAATTTTAACCTACTAAAATAATAAAAAAAATTAAAAAAACCTATTAAAATAATAATTTTCCAAACAGCAGAATTATAATTTCCGTACTTTAACAAAAAAAATTAAAAGTATGGTAATCTAGTTTTAAAAAATCTTTTTCTTTCTCGGACCAGACAAAAGCCAAAATGAAGTTGTTACAGAGCTGTAACAGCAGAATTATAATTTTCCGTACTTTAACAAAAAAATTAAAAGTATGGTAATCTAGTTTTAAAAAATCTCTTTCTTTCTCGGACCAGACAAAAGCCAAAACGAAACTGTTGCAGAGCTGTAATTAGAGCTTCTGCAGTACAGTTCTAATGAACTGTTCAATAAAAAAAATAATTAAAACTTCATTAAAAATCTTTTTTTTTTAGAGGTGTAAATCATTATTCAAGCGCAAACGACTAAGGTTCTTAAATTGAGAAGCTCCAGAGTGCCACGTCATCAAAAGCTTCCACGTCATCACCCTGGTACCACTCTCCTCCTGCACAGTGAGGTAGTAGAGGAGGTATCATCAATCCTTCTGACATGTTTGCAAGAAATCCCGGCATACCGAAAACCGCCTCCTCGTCAACGTAAAGTATTTTCTCCGGCATTGTCGCCGGCACATTCTCCGGCTTCGTTACGTCACCAGAAACCTCTAGGTACTGCAACGATGGCCGAAACGCTTCTGCCGCCTCCGTCGCCGCCTTTTGAATATCCGTGGGCTTCAATGAAGCCGGAATAGGCAGCTTCCAAACCGAATCGGCGAAATTGAGACAAGCTAGCCGACCTCTCAAAGCAATCGCAGCAACGTCGTGAGCTCTCGCAGCCATTTCCGCAGTCGGAAACGTCCCGAGCCATATCCTCGACTTCTTATTTGGCTCGCGCACTTCGCAGACCCATTTACTGTTGCTCCTCCACCTGACACCTCGGTACACCTGGTGCCGAGTCTCCCTGACTTTCTTCCTCCCTCCCCTCTTCTTCGGACAGCTTGAAGCCAACAAAACCTCCTCGTCAGAAAACCTAGCAGCTGGCCCAGCACCACTGCCACAATCTGACACCGACGGAGATTCCGGGACGTTGTTGGACCAGAAACTAGGAAGTGGGTCAGAAAAGTGAGAAAACATATCGATTTCCATGTCCAAATCCATAGAGTATAGTAGTGGTTACAAGTATGATTTGGGATGAGAGTTGAGAGTGATGAGCAGGCTGTGGGGATGGGGGCGGCGCACAGTTGCAACGAGGCCTAAGTTTGCTTTTGCGGCGCAAACCCACAAAGTGACGATCAAATATGTATTTTTTTAAGGTACTTAAATATGAATAACAACGAAGTTCAAGTGGGTAGATTATTAATATGGGAAGTGAAGTGACTATATATAGACAAATAAGCACATATGGGAACGCGGCAAATGATGAGTGGCCAGGCTGTGGGGATGGGGCGGAGCACATTTGCAACGAGTTGGAAGAGAGAGAGAGAGAGAGAGAGAACAGCTGTTTTGTCAAGGGTCAAGTTGATGTGTTGCGTGCGTGTGAGGTTATATATGTATGACACCATAGTGGTTTTCGGGTGACATAGATGGTGTTTGGGAAGTGAGTTTTTATGTAGATTTTATTGGATGTAGGTTTTTATGAGATAAAAAATTTTTAGTGTTTGGAAAGATAGTTGAGTTTTTATGTGATTGGATGTGATGTTTGTGAGAGAAAAAGTGAAATGATTATGGGGTTGGATGTGATATTTTGTTTGGATGTGTTTTTTTTGGTTTTGTAAAACTTTTGTCTTTTAGTGAAAAAAATTAGAAAAAAATTTGGAAACTTGCTTCCCAAACACCACCTAGCAACTTTGGCCTGGCATTTTTTTATTGAGTAATGGTTTTAAATTTTTTATTAAAGTCTTGTTTGGGATATCTTGGCCTTGTTTGGTTTGTGTTTCTCAAAAAATTTTAACAAAAATTTTTTATAAATAATTTTTTAAAAGTAATTAAATCAAACAAATTTTTTCAAAAATTTTTTCCAAAACTTGTTTGGTTTACAAATTTTTCAAACAAATCTCTCTCTCATACACATCAAATCAATTCAAAAAAAATTTAAAACTTAGGCCTCGTTTGGGAACAGGCTAATTTAGTAATTTTTTGGCTATTTGGCTAAAAAGGTAGGTAAAAAAAACTTGTATGTTTGAGATTACTTTTTGGCTAATTACGAAAAGATGTGCAAAAAGTAAAGAGAAAAGAGAATCTTTGAATTTTTTGTATGGGTTGTTGGCTTTTTGGCTAATTTAGTAACTTTTTGACTAATTGGCTAAAATAACCTCTTGCCAAACGAGGCCTTATAACCAAACAAATTTTTCACGCACAAATCATAATTTCAAAATTCATAAAGTCAAAATATAACTCTATTCTCAAATCATAATTTTTAAATTCTACCAAACGCAACCTATCTTTTCCAAATAAATGCGTGAAACAAAAAAATTACAAAAATATTATGAATCATGACATATCTATTCAGTTTTTTTAGATATAATGATTTATGGTGAAAATTAAATTTTAGCCTATGTTTAGGAAGTAGTTTTTCAGGCTTTTTTGACTAAAATATTCACAAAAAATAAAATAAACTTTTTAATCCAATAAGACAAAATATCACATCCAACCCATAATCATTATTCTCACAAAAAATTAAAAAAAAAAAACCAAAAAAGTCAAAAGCTCTTCCCAAACCAAGCTTTTTAGCCCCCAGGCTAAAATAACCAAAAAAGTCAAAAAATTAACGCACTTCCCAAACGAAGCTAAGTGTAGTATGGAGTTCACATATGAAATCAGTCTGAGCCATTGATGTGAAATTCTAAATAATTTTTAAATTTTTATATCTGGAGCCGTAATATTATTGAAAAAAATTATAAATATCAAATCCGTAATATTATTGAAAAAAATTATAAATATCAAATATATTATGATTTCTTTATACTGTGCCATATTCAACAAAAAGAATTTAAATTTTTAAAACAAAATACAAATACGATTATAAACTTAAATAATTTAATTTATAAAATTATATATATATATATATATTTGCCAAACAACTCCTAAAATTGTCCATTTGAAAAACGATATGCATCCCATGATTTGAATTGGATGCCGAGGTCGTTTTTCATCATGAATTTTATTTTATGATTTAAATTATTTATTTTGTCAAGCTATTCGTATATATCATTAGAAAAATGTTTGGTAACTCGAATTTGTTTAGTTTGAATAGTTAAAATGTATCAAAACGACGTCGTTTTACCCTCAAAATGACATGGACGTCATTTTGAGACGTTCAAGCTATTCGGGCTATGAAAATTCGGGTTCTTAAGCATTGTTGATTGCACAATATAAAAGGATAAAATATGAAGGGAAGTTTATCTCAAAAAATTAATGATTATTTTGTTATACCTTTGAGTGACTTAAATACAACAAGAAATGCTTGGAAATAACTAAGGTCAAGTTTGGCAACCCAAAATAAGTACACACTTTTTATCTTTTTATCTTTTTTTCATCACATCATCTCTCTATTTTTCTGCACATCTTTTCGTAAAAGGATAAAAAGTGCACTTATTTAGGTCATCCCAAACAACCCCTAAATTGTGAGTTTTTTTTTTCTCTCTCTCTCTCTCTCTATGTTGTTGTTTGGCAATTGATTCTTTTAATTGGTTTTTTGATTTTTTGACTACTTTAAGACTAAAATTTTGTTTGGTTTGACTTTTTTCCTTTTTTTTTTTTTTAATTTTTGTGAGAGATAAGTGAAATAAGTATGGTTTGAATGTGACATTTTATTTTATTAGCCTATTTAACCTATTTTGTCTTTTGTGCTCTTTTAACCAAAAAGCTCTAGCCAAACAAGCTCATATATATTTCTACTTCTCAACCCTAGTGCAATTATAAAATTAATAAAATAAAAAAAAGGAGACAAATTTTATTTTATCTTTGTGGTTTATTTAACTTATCTTTTGACACTTCAAAATAAGCACATAACTTGTGGTTTGTAAATTCAAGCGTACCATTTACACCGATAGTAAGTTTTGAAGAAAGATTAAAATATTCTTGTATATAAGTAATTTCATTATGTAAATTACATGCATTTTCATCATTTATTTTTATTTTTATTTTTATTTTTATTTGGGATTCACATGCAGTATATCCCTAAAATTTTAGATATGGATATATTATCCTCTTTTGTCCATACATGCATTTTACACTTTATTATTAGTTTGGATGAAATGTTTGACAGTGCACTTTAATCCAAAAATTACTTTAGATTATGTGCTTATTTTTAAACTTTTAAGGAGACAAATAGTACATGGAGTAAACTATAAGAGCAATAAAGGATTAGCAGCTAGTCTCATTTGGTGTACTTAAATACCTATAAGTCCTATTAATTTTTTGAATACATTAATAGATCCTACATTCCCTATGTTGCTCTCATTAAATTCTTCTTCTTCTTTTCTCTCTCTCTCTCTCTCTCTCTCTCTCTCCACTATTTCTCCAAAAGCTTCACATCACCACTATCCACTACCACCGTCTCCATCATCGGCCACTTGCTACCACTACCATCATTGTTCAGTTGTCGTCGTTGTTCACCAGTTATCTCTATTGTCGCTGATCTACATAACTATTCATTAACAACATTTGCTGTCACAAACTCACCACCTCCTTCACAGATTTGTACTCCACCATCGTCGATCTACATTTAATCGTCGCTGATCCACTTCCGTCGTTGCCGATCTACACAACCATCACATCACTATGCTACTTCATCTATGATCATTATCCTCGTTAGCCACTATTTTTTAGCGACGTCATCTATATCTATACTGATCTAGTTGTTCTAGCATTGAAATTAACCCCAAATGACTCTAAACAATGGTGTCTCGCTTACCTTTCCATCTCCCTCTCTCTCATAAACTAGAATTGCTACGTCGTTGTTCACCAGTTATCTCTATTGTCGCCGATCTACATAACTATTCATTAACAACATTTGCTGTCACAAACTCACCACCTCCTTCACAGATTTGTACTCCACTATCGTCGATCTACATTTAATCGTCGCTGATCCACTTCCGTCGTTGCCGATCTACACAACCATCACATCACTATGCTACCTCATCTATGATCATTATCCTCGTTAGCCACTATTTTTTAGCGACGTCATCTATATCTATACTGATCTAGTTGTTCTAGCATTGAAATTAACCCCAAATGACTCTAAACAATGGTGTCTCGCTTACCTTTCCATCTCCCTCTCTCTCATAAACTAGAATTGCTACAAACTAGAATCAAATTTAGGATTCTTTTCAGTGTTAAATTTATCAACCTCTCTTGTTCTCTATGTGTGGTGGGAAGATGGGTTCTTGTAAGTTAGTGAATGACTGAACACGAGTAAGAGCAAGTAAATCAAAATTGTCGTTTGTAATTTTTTTTTTTACACAAATCATTGATATCAGTGATAAGTTATCAATGACAATCATTAATGATTTATCTGTGATAAATTTATCACTAATATAGTTTTGATAAACTTATTAAACTTGTACGTCTTTGTTACTTACTCTGTGTTATGTCTGTGTGTGGTTGTATTTCTGTGAGTGAATAAATGACAATGAGTGAATGAGCGAGTGAGTAAGTGAATAAGTGTGTGTATGTGTAAATGTGAGTGAGTGAGTTTATGAGAACAAGTGATTGGGTTGTGGCAGTAGTAACGTCGTGGTGATATATGTTATTTTTAGTAAAAAATGATCAGAAAAATATCAATGAAAACTAGGGGTGTTTGCGGATCGGATTTGTGTGGTTTGCGATTCGTTTTTGACCCGCCTGCATCTATGCAGTTTGGGAAAAAGTCAAACCACAACCGCCCACAATGCAGTTTGCGGTTTCTGCGAATAGGATTTGCGAATGTACGGGTGGTTGCAGGCAGTTTGTGGTTTGAATTTTTTTCTTTAAAAATTAACATAGATATTGTTTAATTTTAACTCCACACATCTAAAACCTGGCACTGAGACTACCTACATGTTGAATGGAATTGTCACTTATGTCATCCATCAGTTTAACATCCATGATTTGCACAGTTTATGTTTTGTAATATGAGAGCATTGTGTTGATCAAACATAAAAACTAGTTCAAAAAAAAAGGTACATTTTTTTTTTTGGGGATAAATAAGTTTAAAAAAAAGTACTTTGAATCATTTAAATCATTAACCAAAGTGCAACTTATGTAAGACTAGAAGTCAATTAAGTAAAACAATTACAGAACGTATAATGGAAGTTGTAAATTCTTCCAAGTAAATGAACGGACAGGTTTTTCCAAATATATATATATATATAGTAGGGGCAGTTG